CCACGTATTTTAAAATTTAACAGATTCCTTTGCTTATGTTACTCCTCTGCTCAAACCTTCCCATGACTCCCCAGCTCACTTGCCCCCTCTGATGCCCTTCAAAGCTCCATTCAGCCTCGCCCACTCTCCTGGATGCCCTTTTCCCTAATACTCCCGCTTCAATCCCTCCACTCCAGCCCCACTGGCTTTGTGTTCTTCAAACACACCAGTCTCACTCCCAACACAAAACGCTGTTGTCTCTCTTGAACACCTCTCCCCTAAAGGGCCCACCCTCACCCTCTTCAAGTTTTTTTTTTTTCAAATGTCACCTTTTCAGTAACCTTGAGGAGTTGGCTACTCTGTAAAATGTTACATTCACCCACACTTCTTATTTGCCTTCCTTGGTTTATTTTTTTCTCCTTAGCACTTATGGTAATGGTATGTAGATAAGAAATACATATGTTAATGTAATTTTTATAGGTGTCTTTATTATTTGTTATTATTTGTTTACCTGTGTAACCTCACTAGCTAGAATAGTGAAATGTGTATAGTGTAGGTGCTCAATAAGTATTTAAGTGATTAAAGGAATGAACAAAGAATGTGATGGGAATACCAGGGTGCCAAAAACAGACCCTTGAAAAAGTTCACTCCCTCTTTATTCTCTGACAAATTGCAATGCCCATCTAGGTATTATCCTCCTGGCTTCCCAACCTCTTCCTAAGGTAAAACTCCATGATGGCCAGAACAACCCTGTTCTCCGATCCTCTCTGCCATACCCAGCAGAGCACTCTGTTCAGGAAAGGTCTAGAATGAAGACTGCTTGAAGAGGAAATAGAGGCTAAAGATGGGGCCAGGTGGGCAGTACAACTACAACCTGCTCTGTATAGATCTGAGAACAGGTGCACAGAGAATAATTCCAGCATTTAAATGTGGCTCACAGCCATGGGAGTGCCTCACAAGATCAGAGGACCAGTAAGGAGGCTGATGAAGCAGGAGAGTATCCCACCTCACACCAGATTTGTCTTTGTGTTTCAGATCAATCCCCGCCCTCCATCGGTGGTCCGCGACAGGTGGAAGCCTACTTGGGGTGCCCCAAGCTGGTTCAGTACACCAGCAGCTCTGAGGACCACATATTCACTCTCAGAAATGACTGTGCTGACTTCACGCTCTTCGGTAAAAATGTTTGCTGCAGGCCCTGGGGATGAGGTCAGAGTCACGCTTTGGATGATTTTACAAGTGTACCTTGTCCACATTCTGTCAGTTTTCCATTTGACAATCCAGGACCAACATTCTCCTGGGAATGATTCCTGTAATTCAAATAGGACCTCCCTCACCCCCTCAGAAATAGCGACAGACTTCAGGCAGATTGGCAGGCTAGCTACACTAACTCTGGGCGCAGGCAACTAATTCGAAAATCATTTTATCTCAGTCAAGTAATATGAAGTCATCTTTACAGGTCACCAAATTATTAGAATAATTAAGCTTAATAATGAAGAGATACTCACTTAAAAATTCATATCAATTAGAAGGGCACAATACAGTGTAAATTGTGAAGAAACACAAATACCTTTGACACCTCTCCCACTATTTTTTTTTGTCAACATGTTCTCCTATACCTCCCTGTCTGTGTTGCTATGTTGGGATCAAGCAAAGCTTCATCCTCTCAGCACTGGTGGTGATGACACCCAGCCCTGTCAGGGGGTCAGATTCAAAGCCCACAGGATGCAGCTTGCCTTCTGCAGCCAACACAAAGGATGCTGTGTTGAAGCATCCTTTAGGGGCTTATTCTGAGCTCTGATCACTTCCCTGCCCTGCATTCCTTCTCTGTGCAGAAGAGGACGCTGCTTTGTCCTCCACCCTTTGCTCCATGGACATCCTTCCAGATGCTAGACAGAGGCATCAGGAGATTTTCACCTCCCCTGAGGAGTAATGGCCTGGAAGTGATACTTGTCTGCTCCCTACTCTCAGCTCCTTTGAACCTGCTATTTTAATTATTTATTTACTTAGTGGTTCTTATTTTGATGTATAAATTTATTTATTTTCTTATTCCCCTAGATATAGTACCCATAGCTCTCCCACCACCAAAGCACCTGTGAACCATCACCACAGTCCTTTGTGCTCTTCTCTCCTGTTTTGACCCTTCTCTTTCCCCCTCCCCTGCTGGGTACCTTAGCTGTATGGTCAGCTTGCAGTCAACCTGTTTTGTTTTTTTTTTAAGATTTATTTATTTGTGCATACAGAACTGGGGTACAGGCCAGAGGCTCAGGGGCGGCGAGAGGCTTCACCAGAGACAGAATGGGGAGCAGAACAGGCAGATCGACGAAGTACACTGCTGAGGGGAGCAGCCTGCGGGCCAGGAGAGGTCTGCCACGCCATGTGGTCACCTCCAGGGCAGGCGGGAATCGAACTCATGCGGAAGTGGCTTTAGCTTCTCAGTGCTGTGCTTTAACCCACTGAGCCACCAGGGAGGGCCCAACGTGTTATTTTAAGGAGACTTTCTTATTTTCTTGAAAAACACAAAACAGGTCTGACAGAGGAGTCCTTATTCACTGCAGGCTTGTGTCTGAAGGGGTGATTGGTCCAAAGTCCATAAAGGGAGAGAGTGGATGAGAAATCAGGGCAAGGGACAGGGCTGCTGTGAGGGTGCAGCCAGTTTGACCTGTAGTATAGCTTGGGGAAGTGTCAGGGGGTCCTGGCTCTCATCCTCATCCTCCCAAGGTGTGCCATCCTGGCTCAGGTCCAAGTAGGGTTGCCCTTTGAGGTCTCTTCAAGGAGCAAGTGCCTACCCCTCTCTGGAATTCCATTTTTTAAAAAGACTTATTTATTTATGCATACAGAACAAGGGTACAGGCCAGAGGTAAAGGTGCAGTGAGAGGATTCACAGGTGCTACCTCCCACTTGCAGTGTGATCAGGATTGCCTCGGAAAATCAGCCTGGCTCAAGGAAATGTCTGACGAGATTTGGTGGAGGAGGCAGGAGGGGTCTGAGAGGGGCCCAGCATCAGAACTCAGGATGTTAGGTGCCAGGATGAGTCAGTCAGTAGAGCAGAGGAGGTTTCTCAACAATCTCATCTTCCCTGGGACAGAAAATGGGACATTGCTATGGATACCAGATTTGCTGAAACCCTGCACTCTGGAGATTCTAGCAAGAAATCTCAAGAACAACTTGTCATCTGTGTTCCAGCCAAAGATGGTGGTCTGCGCTTGCAAGGCAGAGAGCCAATGTTTATACAACCAGACCAGCAGGATAGGCAATTCCTCCCTCGAGGTAAGTGCTGGGAGGTGGATGGGAAGGAGGTCTCTGTCCTGAGGCACAAAGATGTGGGGCACTTGAAGGGCTGTCATTACTCTGCTCCACTTGGGTAGTGTGTGTTGGCAGGTGAGTGGAGCTGGGGTACGAGAGGAGGACAGGTGCTGATCTCGGATCACTGTGTTTTTATTTCCCAGTTCCCATCTTTGCAGACAGGCAGGACACTTCCTTCTCAACTCTTCTTGGCATTCCCAACAGGCTCCCAGTTCCCAGTTCTGGAATATGACATGGAGGTGTAGGGTGGCAGATAGCTGTGAGGTTCCTGTAAGTCTACACAGACCACAAGCTCCATCCTCGTTCCTCTTCAGACCCAAGGAGGTGGCCTGTGACTTCTGGGCTTGTCGAGATGCAGGAAACCTTTTTACAAAGCGGCTTAAGCTTCCATGTGCCCAGAAGCACTGCACAGCCGTTTCTGTCTGAAGTCTCATTGGGAAGTAAAAAGAAGACAGGTGCAGGCTCTCCCCACACACACACCCTTGATCCTGCCTCCAGTAAATGAGAAAACAAACCCTTTGCTTTCTGTTTTACTCTCTCCTTCTGGTTAGAAGAAGCATATCTTTTTCAGTCTGTAGCAAGTCTTCTGCACCCAAGTTTCTAGTCAAGAGACTTGACCCAAGTCCATTTTATTCTCCCCTCCCCTCTGCCCCTTTCTTGATTGTAAAGGAAAGGGGGATCCAGGAAGGAACAGGGTGGTAACATCCCACCCACCTCTTAATCCCTTTCCTGTGCAGACACTTCCTGCTAAAGCATGAGCAGGGAATTCCTACTTGAAAGGGTAGATTTGGGGCACCTTAGGGGAGTGAGAAGGAAAAAAATACAGAGTGGGAAAAATAGATTAAAATCACTATATTCTAGATATCCCAAAATATCCACTTTTGGAAATAGAAAATTATTAGGGGTTTCCTTGTTAGGGAGAGATCCAGAGTCACCTCAGTAGGGGGTCAGAAGAGATACCAGGGCATTTATGAGGTTTCCAGACCCTGCCCTTCCCCGCGCCATCATTCAGGTTACAGCACGTTTCCTCGTGTTCTCTTGGCCTTCGTGGCTTAAGAGTCAGCAGGGCACCTCAGCCTATGTGGGACCCCGTTTTCAAGGGATGGTAGAATAGTCTTTATTTAGCCCCTGTCTGACTCTACAAGGATTTTAGGCAAGGAAATATGGTGTGAAGTGAGGGGACAGGCCCAGGGGCAGGAGTCAGGAAGGGGCAAGTGGGCTGGAAGAGGGTCAGCCTTCAGGCCTGACGTACAAGGCCTGGTCAAGGTGGCACAGGCTGGCAGAATTAAGGCAAGTATCCAGGGTCCATGAGTTCTCAGGTCAGCGGGTCTTAGAAAGCCCCAGAAGAACCCTTAATATTGAGCCTTCTGGCCACCCAGTGACGAGCAACCTGTTACAGGAGGCCCACTGCAAGTGTGACGCAAGCACCTTCGGCCCCAACTGCCAGCACACCAAGGACACCTGTGAGGAGCCCTGCTTCCCAAACGTGACGTGCACTCCAGGGAAGGGCTGTGAGGCCTGTCCTCTGAACCTGACTGGGGACGGCCGCCACTGTGCAGGTGAGGAGGGAACAGGGCCATGGCAGAGGAAGTTCTGGGGTAAGGCGATAACCTCAAGAATCTAGGACAACCAAGGGTAAACCAATTCTCTCCCAAATGTGAATCTAGGCGGATATGGTAAGGTCATAGAAAGGTATGAGACTCAAGAAGAGATTGTGCTGGCCTGGAAGAGAGACCAGGGCAGCACAATCTGAGGAAAAAGCCAGAGCACTGTAGATTGAAGATGGCCTGGAGAAAGGAGGAGCCAGGGAACCAGAGAGCTGAGACTCCTCGGAGTCCTGGGAGGTCTGCAGAGAGGCAAAGCCAGGCTCTCTGCATCTCCCCAGTCAGGGCATTGCCCAGGCTGCCTAGAGCATTGGGTGGCAGGGACTTCATTGTCCCTTTACCTGCCTCCCAGCACCTGTTCCTCACCTTCTGAGTCACTGGAGTCCTTACGAGAGCCCAGCGAGGTCCCCACCAAGTCCCTTTAGGTGCTCAAATGAAATCCAGAGACCACTGTGTCTTTTGAGCAGAAGCCAAAGTGGGAAGAGCCACCACGTTGTAAAGGCAGAGGAGATCAGCGTGAGGAAGGGAGGAAAGCAGGTCCTTCTCCCACCAGGCTCTGGATCCTTTCCTGAGATAGAGGGTCTGATAAATGCTCCATTCTCTCAGCAGAAGTGGGGAACATACCCACCTGGCAGAGGTAACGGGGTTGTTGGCAGAGAAATGCCTGAGAAAAGGAGGAGAGTAGGGTTCATAAGTAGATCACATATGGAGGGAGTTTTGCGGGAAAGAAACCACGCCTGTCTGGCAGCAGCTTTCCAGGGTGGGGGGCCCTCACTGCTGCCTGCATGGTGTGCTGACCTCTTGGCTCCCTGTGAAGTTCTAGAGAGCTCTTTGGGCTGTCACAACAAGTCCTGCCCTGAGAATTTCTGCTACAACGAGGGCTACTGCTACATCTCCCAGGCGCTGAACTGCCAACCCACCTGCACCTGCCTCCCAGCCTTCACAGACACCCACTGCTTGGTGGCTGGGAATAATTTCACTCCAAGCATTGTTGAAGGTATGGCCAGGTACCCTTCACCTACACCCAACTCCACGTTTACCCTCCCCTAAGCCTGCTGGGGAGTAGGGGCACAGTGGTAGAGAACTCTGGGGGGTCAAGGTTAGGTTTCTCAAATTCACAGAGCAGAGCTCCAAGTTTTTCCCAGGTGATGGTAAATTGGAGGCCTTGGGAATGTGTAGGAGCATCTGTCACCCCATGAACCATGGGCCTTACACTTGGGCATTTTATGGAAAGTACATGAAAAGGCATTTCACCTCCAGGAAGCCTTTCCTGATTTCCTAAAGAGAACTGGGGACTCTGTCTCTTCCTGGCACCTGCCCTTGTCCTTACCTCAGTCACAGACAAAGCAGCACAGTCTGCTGAGGAAAAGCTCAAGGCAACCTTGTGACTCAGGGAAGCACTGGCCGTAGTGAAACGACTCCTGGGGTGAAGGTCAGCATACTCAGCCACTCCTCCTGATTCTCTGGGGTCCTCTGTCACTGGAGAATGGGGCCATCTCTTTGGGCTGACCCAATGACATCCATGGATAAGTCTGGGTACCTGGTAAGGTAATTATGAGTCTGCTTCTCCTATCTCCAGAGCTTCCTGTAAGAGTCATCAAGCTCTTTCTCAGAGAGGAAGAAAATGCCACCAAAGAAGAGGTCGACGCCTCGGTCAGTGCTATAGGCCTGCTCTGAGTGGGGGAGCAAGTTTTGGCGGATTCAGGGTCAGGTCTTAGCCTTTATTTGCATATTTTGGGCATCTCATCAGCCATCTAGATTCAATTATCAGAGGAGAGCAGAGCCTTTTTCCTCAGGGAAGGAAGAAGGTGAGTAAAGCAGGAAGTCCTAGAACAGAGACCCCAGAGGAGGTTAGAAAGACCAGCTCACCAGGACCAGATGGGTGGCCAAGTCACCCCATCTTCTTGTGCACTTCTTTTTCTGAAGTCTTACACTTGGGTATTTTATGGAAGGTACATGAAAAGGCATCTCACCTCCAGGAAGCTGACTCTCTCTCTTGGTGCCTGCCCTTGTCCATACCTCAGTCACAGACAAAGCAGCACAGTGTTGAATTTTTGAGCCTCTAGAATCCTACACACCTGAATACAAATCCTGTTCAAACACTTACTAGAACAGTGTAATCTTATACAAATTATTTTTTATCTTATCTATAAAAGTAGATAATAGTACCTGTATCAACAGGTTGTCGAGATATAAATGATACTATATGTAAAGTACTTAGCACAGTACCGGAAACACAGTAAATGCTCAAAAATTACTACCATGACTACCACCACCACCGCCGCTGCTGCTTCTGTAGCACTGCACACTCTCGTAAAATTTGTTGACATTCGTCTACTGCACCAGACTATGGGTCTTTGAGTAGAGACTATTTCCAAATCACCTTGATAATGCCAGCACATGACCATCCCTAGGTCTGACTAAACATGATCAATGTTCAATAAACATTTGGGGAGAGAATAAGTGGGTGAGGCAGGGATCAGAAGCAAAGTAGGAACTATTCATTCAAGATACTCCCTTGTCATAGGAAGCAGTGACAGGGGCCAGGGATGTAAACAACAAACATGAAATAAGCAGAGACCGGAGCCAATCACTGCACGAGACTAGGATGTAGGGTTGTACAGAGAGGGGAGAATACTTCTGGGTGGCCAGGGCTCACATTCAAAGAAGGAAACAGATCCGGATAAATATATGCAATAAAATGGGAGGGGTCTCTTCTCTGGACAGGCCCTCACCTCCATCCCTTCCCACTGCCCTAGGTGGCCTACATACTGGGGAACCTGGATGTCCGGGCCTTTCTCCGGAACAGTAAAGTGGAAAATATGTAAGTGGCTGGTCTCAACATGGTGCCCGGGTCCTGTCACTCCTGGTCCCTTCTCTCCTCGCTGTGCCTCTCCCACACGGCGAACCTCTGATCTGAAGCCCATGCGCGCGGTCAGTTTAGCCCTTGAACCACCATGGGTTCTTGTCCCACGAAGCCTTTAAAAGGAATTCTTAGGCAACCCCTCAGATGAATAAGTGAAAAGAAGCAAATCTTTATTTAGAATAAAGAAAAGTTCATTCAGAGGAAAAAGAACAAAAGGAAAGCCTCCAAGGCAGCAATGCCAAGGAGAGGCTAAGCTCCGCGTGGGGCGTGTCTGAGGGCACTTAAGCCTTTCTCCTCTAGACCAACTCCTGGCATCCCCTGGGCGACTGGCTCTCTCAGTGGCACTCGTCCCTGGGCAGCTGCGTCCAGCTTTACAGCCCTTAGCTTGGTCTTTCTTGCACTATCCCTGTCCAAGTTTTCTTAAGATTTACTTTCTTTATTAGCCTAAGAATTGACTAACCTCATTAGCCCTCCTGGATTTCTCTGCTCTTACCTCAGAAGCCTTTAACTTTCCCAAAGTCCCTGCCTGCACTGTCCCTGAAACTGCCCACCCACCCTAACTTGCCCTAGGACTCAGAAGGGTGCCATTCAGCACTGGGCAGTGACCTCGGAATTCCAGTACCGCCCTCGGGGCCCTGTCATCAACTTCCTAAACAACCAGCTACGGGAGGCTGTGGTGGAGGCCTTCTTGCTCCAGGTCCGGTGGAAGAGACGGAGAACGCGTGAGAGCCCCAGGAACAACGTGATCTTCTACCCCCTCTCCACTGAGCAAGTGCTCAGCTTGGAGGCCTGTGAGTCACTGTGGGGGAGGGAGGACAGTACAGGAATAACGAGGGGAGAAGAAAAGTGGACGGAGCCTGTCACAGATCTTTAACCCACACAACCCCTTGGCAGAAAAACACCAAGCAAGTTAATTTAGAGTTTTGTGCTTGTTTGCTCTTTGAAAGAAATTTTGAGTACACACTTCTTTCTGATGAATCCCTATGGGTACAGTCTCAGGGGGCAATTACTCCTGCAGCTACAGCTAGAACTTTTCCTCCTTCAATAGTCTTGAGAATGATTTCCCTAAAATGTTTTTGCTGGAGGATATGAAATTAGATGCCGGAAACGGCCCAGAGGCAGAGCTATCATTTCCAAAAGGGGAGTCTGTCACTCTGTGCAAGAATCACCCCCCCCCTCCAGGTCTCCACACCCCTCAAAAAGACATAGGACTTCTGAGATTGATTTGACCTCTAACAGCCCCTGATTATTCCAAATAAGAATGAGATACTTTGGCGAGTTTGTCAGAGAGGAAAAGGGAGGATTCACCCTTTTTAGGAAAAAAGCTGAGAGCTGGTCAGTGACCATTCTAAACCCAACAGAAACTGATTTACCTGGGTCCAGGACCAAGTAAGATCCTTCTAGAATCCACTCTGGCCTCCTGGGCACAACAACATGAAATCCTCAGAATTACAATAAGCATTTAGGGTAGGGGCTACGTGTGTTGGGTGCTAACTCTGTCAGCCTTGGACTGAATATTCGGCATTTTTTACTGCCTTTTTAGTCCACAGCAAAGTAGCTGTTGTTATTATGGTTTCCCTTTTAAAAGATAAGAAAACCTGTGCTGAAGGATTAAGCGATTCCCCTCAAATCACACAACTAGCCGGTAGCAAAGTTTGCAGTTCACTCAGAACTGGTTGACTTCAAATCATAGTAAATCACATGTAAACCAGACGAACTATACTAAATCACGTATATGACCATATGAATCATAGTAAATCATGAGTAAACCATACCAATGTCTTTACCAATGCGGTGCCCAGGCCTCTGTGCTTATTGATTACATCACAGTCCTCATTCAACAAAACCCCTCCTGTTAAACATTGCTACTCCTATAAACTATGCTGCCCCAGACAGCCAATTATTTCTCAGGAAAAACACCTAAGATTGGAGTTCTTGATCTAAAAGGTGTGCAGTTGGTGCTCATTTATTGCTTTCCTTGTCATCCCGGGCCTCCCTGACAGGGAACGTGAGCATGCTGGAGGCTCGCTTGAGATGCAACAGCTACAAGGGCTACCACCTGGTCTACAGCCCCCAGGACGGATTCACCTGCGTGTCCCCGTGCAGAGAGGGCTACTGTGAGCACGGAGGCCGATGCCAGCATCTGATCGAAGGGCCCGAGTGCAGGTGAGTCGACTGAAGGATAGGAAGCGAGGGCAATACCAAGCTGGCTAAAATAGAGCAAGGAGCCCAAGGATGCCATGGGAGCTCAGGGTGGCTGAGAATTCACAGAGGTCCCTTTGTGCCTGAGAGAGCATGGGAGCAGAGAAAAAGAGAATGGCAAAGAAGACTTCTGAGTTCTTTGTCAAGAATAAAGGTACTGGGCCTCCCTGGTGGCACTAAGAGTTAAGTGTCAGCACTGTGAAGTCATCCACAGCACTCTGGCCAGGGAGCTGACCCACATGGCGTGGCAGACCTCTCCTGTCTCGCCTGCCACTCCCCTCAGCAGTGTGTTTCAGTAGATCCTCCTGTTCTGTTCCTCCACTCTGCCTCTGGTGAATCCTCTTACCCTCCCACACCTCTGGCCTACACTCCAGCTTTGTGTGCTGAACTACCTCTGAAAAATCAAAACAGTGGGTATGATGATGATTTTAAAGATAAGAAAACTAAAACTTAGAGATGATAAAGAACCTGCCCAAGGTACCCAATAAGCTAAATGGTAGGATATGGTTTCCAAAGCCAAAGTCTCCCACCTGATTGTGCTTCTTGAGTGGACATCCTGCTGTCTCCTGTGGAGAAGAAATTCACTGTCTGTGTCCAGGCCCAGCCCCTTCCTCTTCAGTACTCATTCAGAGAGGCCCTCTGGGACTGGTGCCCTGTGTCTCCATGGTTCATCGAGTCTGAGGGCTTCCCATGAGGGAGTGCACCAGTCCGCAGGTCTTTTTTTTTTTTAAAAGATTTTATTTATTTACTACTACAGAACTGGGGTACAAGCCAGAGATGTGGAGGGTGAGAGGATTCACCAGAGACAGAGCAGGGAGCAGAACAGGCAGATCGACCAAGTACACTGCTGAGGGGAGCAGCGGGCAGGCCAGGAGAGGTCTGCCGCCCATGTGGATCACCTCGGGGGCAGGTGGGAATAGAACTCATGCGGAAGTGGCTTAAGCTTCTTAGTGCTGTGCTTTAACCCGCTAAGCCACCAGGGAGGGTCCAATCCGCAGGTCTTTTTAGTAGAGAAAAGACAGAAGTACTTCAACCCTGTCTCACCCTTCCCTCCACTGCAATTGTGGATGGGCCAGCCCCTCCCTCTCCCCTATTAAAGGAGTGAGGAGGCTGGGTTTATGACTTCAATACTGCCCTTCATTTTGTGGGGTAGTTCCTTCAAAGTGAGTTCTCACCAAGTGAGTTCAACCCTTTGTCTCTTCCTGTTGCTCCTTGGCCTCACTTTTGCTCAGCCACTTTAGTGAGGCTGTCTGTCCATCTCTGTCCTCAGAGGGGAACCCAGCCTGTTGTGGAGAACTGCCTCTGGTCCAGCAGAGAGGAGTGAAGAGGCTGAGCACTGGCCTGACTATTTTTCTCTCTCCCCAGCTGTGTGCCCTTCTCCATCTACACACCCTGGGGAGAGCGCTGTGAGAGGCTGAGCATAAAGCCTGGAGCCTTCTTCGGAATCCTCTTTGGAGCTCTGGGGACCGTCTTGCTGCTGGGGACCATGGTATTTGTGGTCCTGCACTACTGGGGCTGCCCCAGGACTCGGTACTCCTATCCCCTGGACTTGGCAAGTTGAGGCCTCCCCACCAGGGGCAACTGTGGCCTGAGATACCTCAAACCCACCCTAATCTTACCATGCATGTCCAGGCATTGCTTTGGGGAGACTGGAAAAGAGAAGGTGACTGAAGGGGACTCAAAATTCTTCAGGTTTGAATAAAGGGCATGAATAACAAAAGGTCAAGAACACAACTTGTCAGTGGACACTGGGGCAGACAGGAAAGACCATAAAGACCTACATCTTAAACGTGTAGGTTCTTACACAGACAGACCCACCAGAAGGACATTGACCTACACACAACACCGTATACACACACACCAGAGTTCCAAACAGTGGGTGGCTCTAAGTTAAAATAGACTTACATACAAAATTCTCCATTTGACTTCTAATTAACATTTATTTAAATACAATCCCTTTTATATTTTGTGTTTCTAAAGCCATGGATTTCATGGTTGATTTTCCTCTGGTGGCTGAAGGGGCTAAGCAAGTGGGGTGGAGATTAAATGTCGGGCACTTGGTGGAGGACGAGAGAGGGCCCCTGCTGCAGCCCTCCGTTACTCCCCTTGGGGAAGCCCCAGTTGCTCCAGTGTAGACTTGGATTCTTGTGTCAGTCTCCACATGGCTTACTTCCCCTCCCCCACAAAACATGTCAAGGCTTTCCCTCTGAGGAGAACAGAGGTATTCCCATGTGGGATATCCAACACTCTCCAAGGAGCCCTCCCCTATGTTGCTGGTCTCTGTCCATCAGTTTCTAGAGGATAATATGTTCTGGGTTTTCCTGTCTGAGTCTTTTTCTCACTGTCTTTCATGGAGGAGGATTCAATTACTTCAGCGCCTTTTCCAGAAGCCAACTACAGGAGCCACACATACCAGCCTTAGACCACGGGCTCCCAATTCCCAATACACTTTCTCTGTCCCTAACTGCGTCCTAGGCAGAGTCTTCTGGGCTTCTCCACCAGACAGCTATCTCTCAACCCCACTCTGCTTGTTCCAGAAATCCAGTCAGCTTCCATGTCATCCTCTCTCAGCAGGCAGGACTTTACATCTATCTGACCCACAACTCCTATGTCTAAAGCACCTTAGTGCTTTAGTCCCAACTCTATGCAGAAACTGGGTAACTGTGTCTTGGTCGGAAATCCTAGATCCTGGAAGTAAGACTCTAAGGGGCCAGCTTACATCAGTTATTGATTGCTGATCCAACTAAGTGTGGCCATGGACTAGGAAAGGAGGTCACATGCTAAAAACCTGGTGCTCAAGCTGAGACTCCGACTGTCTGCTTTACATAGAGATTGGCTTCTGCCAGCAGATGATACCTCTCCACATGCACAAGTTTCATAGGCCCCAAAAATGTAATCAAGCCTCCACATAAAACCACATTCTTTTCTCTTTTTTTATTTTAAAATTTATTTATTTTTATATATTTTACATCACTGTTCATTTTTGTAGAATGTTTGCTTTCTCCCTCTCAGGTGTAGTCCCCATAGAATTCCCACCACCAGTTCACTGCGCCATCACCATCCTCCCTTGTGCTCTTCCCTCCCCTGTTTTGATCCCTTTCCCTCCCCACCCCCTGCAGAATGTCTTTGACTTAGGTTTGCCTGTTAATTTTTGGGTTTTATTTTCCATTTTTATATCTTTTTCCTGACCCCTTATTTGGTGCCCTTATACTACCCACGTAAGTGAAACCATCCAATATTTTTCGTTTTCCTTCCGGCTTATTGCATTGAGTATAACCCCTTCCAGCTCCATCCAATTTGCTGTGAATGTATGAATTTATCTTTTTTGATTGCTGAATAGTATCACATTGAGTATATATATCACCTTTTCTTGATCTAGTCATCTATTTTTGGACGTTTGGTTTGTTTCCAAGTCTGACCTATTATAAATAGTGCTGCAATAAACATAGTGCAGGTATTCTTTTGAGTTAATGTTTTTGTGTCCTTTGGGTAGGTTTCTAGGAGTGGAATTGTTGGATCATATGGTAGCTCCATTTTTAGTAGTCTGAGGAACCTCCACACAGCTTTCCATAGTGATTGGACCAATTTGCATTCCCACCAGTAGTGCAGAAGAGTTCTTTTTTCTCCACATCCTCGCCAACATTTGTTATTGTTGTTGTTTGTTTTTAATATGTGCCATTCTCACTGGTATAAGGTGGTATCTCATTGTAAAACCACATTCTTTTAATTCCAGCATCCACTTACCAAGAATTTAAACACAATAACTTATAGGGGTTCCCTGGTGAATTCTACCAAACATTTCAGTAAGATAATTTATTGATTCTCTATAATCTCTTTCAGAAGATAGAAATGTCTTTCAGAAGATAGACAACTTATTTTCAGTATTAGTCCAATACCAAAACCAGAAAAAAATTAAAACAAGAATCAATAAATACAGAGATATTCCATGTTCAAGTTTCAATATTTTAAAGATGTCATTTCTTCCCAACTTGATCTATAGATTAATCTATAGATGAAATAAAATCACAGAAAAAAATTTATAGACATATACAAACTGACTATTAAGCTCATATATAAAGAGGAAAAACTACCCAGAATAACCAACTCAATATTGAAAGATAAAAATAAATTTAGTGGATCAATACTACCCAAGTCCAAGATGTATTTTACAAGCTACAACAATCAGGACATTGCAATCTTAGTAAAAGAATGGACAAATAGGTCAGTTAAATAGAATGGAAAACTCAGAAATACAGTCAACTAATCTTTGACAAAGGAGCAAAAGCAACGCAATGAAGCAAAGGTATTTCAACAAATGAACATCCATGTGCAAGAAAATTAATCTAGGCAGAGACCTTACACACAAACAGAAATTAATTCAAAATGGACCACAGTCCAAAAATGTAAAACTATAAAATTCCTAGCCTGTAACACAGGAGAAAACCTCAATAACCTTGGCATGGCAATGTGTTTTTAGATAAAATGCCAAAGACATGTGGAGAAGTGACTAATGAGGTGACTTT